CCCCCCCCCCCCCCCCCCCCCCGCAATGCCTAGCATGGTGCTTTGCATAGGGTAGGTGCTTGCAGACTATTTGTAGGATTGAAGCTGTGGAATCCAATGACCACTTTCTCTACTATTTTCCTGTTGGTCAGTGTTTGCCTTAACCATGCACGGACTCTCTGCTTTTAAATCTGCAACTAATTCCTTGTTGTGTCATAAGGATCCAGTGAAGGGCAGCCACGCTGTTTGCTTCCTTTATCTTTTGTGCTAAGAGATTTCCCCCCGCCCCTTCCAAGAACGTGTTTGATGATCTGTGGCCTGCTGTATTGCTTTTCCAGCAGATGACTGGGTAGTTAAAGTCCCCCAGAACCACCAGATCCTGCCCCAAGGCCACTTGGGTAAGTCTACCAAAGCAAACGATCACGTCGGTAATGATGGTAATACCTTGGACTTTAATGGCGCTTTTCCTCCCAAGAGCCTCAAAGTGCTTCTGCATCTATCATCTTCCCCGCTTCCCCCCTCAAGTCCCCGTAGAGCCAATATCGTATCCGTCCTGTGAAGGAAGAAGCCAGAGCACCACCCAGAGCCGTGGCTGAGCCAGTCCCGTCAGAGGTTGAGCTTGCGCTGCAGTAGAAATCTCTGCTTCTAACCCATGTCCACTGCTCTGCGCTTAGCCTGTGCTATACCACCAGCCTCCTGGTTTGAAAGTTCATTTGTGACATGCCCTCGGCTTCTCATGAGTCCTGTGTCCAGGTTGGCACTCGATCCAGAGTGTTTTAAATTGTCGGCGTCCTTTTCTCAGGCCCAACAACACCGGTGAATAGTCTAACTGGGCAGTGTCTGTATTTGTCTTTGCCTGGGCTGCTGGAATGGTGTGGTTTCTCACAGCCCCAAGTTCTAATTGTGCAGTTTTCCAGGCTTGCTAGAATAACAACGCACCCCCAGCAGCCCTCACAATACAAGCCGGGCTTACACGAGAGTCCATTGGGGTGACAATAGGGGACGAGGGTGACACCCTGCAATGTCGTTCTTCTGATGAAGGCCTGAAAAGGGATTTTTTCCCCTGGATGCTGAAGTTGTCCTCACTCGGAATCGATAACACTGGGGATGAGTCTTTAATCCAAAGAGGAATCTTGTTGCTATTAATGATGAGATGAAAAACAACGACCTCATCTAACACTCAGTGTCATGACCCTGAGAAGTAGAAACTGTTAGCATCTCCATTTCGCACATGAGATTTCGAAGCTTGGGTGGGATTAGGTAAGGACCCAAGATTGCCGAATTGGGCCCAGGCGTCCTGCCTCCACACCCTTGCTTTTAGCCAGCAGTGCTGTGGATGCGGGCTCATCGGGAGTCTTATCATCGCCCTGAGTCTGTTGGGATGGCTCCTGGGGAGGTTGCCCTCCTGGGAGCATTCCTAGTCCCCTTGTGCAGACCTGTTTTTGTTTTATTTTTTTCATGTAAAACAAGCCGACCCAGACTGAGGAGCAGGCCTACTCACCTTAACCAGAGTCCACGCAGGGGACTCTCCCAATCAATTCTGTGCTCATCTGCACCTGTTTCTGCCTGTGGGGGAATCCAGGGAGCAAGGGTTGATTCAAATGCATGGTCCTGGGTACGGGTGTGTTTCCCACTGGGTGTGCCTCTTAATCTGGGACTTGATTGTATTGAGTGATTGAAAATTGATGATTGATTAAAAAATGTTGGGGGGGGTGCCCAGAAAATTGGAACCAAATTAGTTACAGTATTTTGTGTTCTTTTATACTTATTATGGCTTTTTGAACTCAATATAGATAACTGTACAAAATAATATACTCATGATTAAAGTAGATTGGAATATCTATGATGTTTGCAAAAACCAAGAGTTATGGGGGACTGTAAAATCAATCCTGATCACAGTGACCAGTTTTTGAAAACTTAGTATGTTTTAAGTGATTTATATACATGGTCTCATTTACTTTTTAATCTTTAAAAAACTGTATAACACTCTCCCTGTCTATAGTAGAGTTTAAATAGTTTGATTTAATGAGTTCATATAGCTAAGTGAGTTAGCCAAGCAGTGAAGGGAGTGGACTCCTTATCCCAAACTTTTTAAAAAAAATGTATTTTTATTGTTTTCAGAGGGGAAGGGAGATAGAAATATCAATGATGAGAGAGATTCATTGATCGGATGTCAGCCACAGCACCAAGGGTGGGAGTGGAATTTCCAAAGGATTCAACCCAATAGAAACCCAAATGGAAGAGCCTGGAACCCCAGCTGAACAAAGAACCCGATACATTGTTTTATGCCCTAAGCTTAATGGCATTGGTTGTATTTGTTTTTAATTGATTTTTAGAGAGAAAGGAAAAGAGAGGGGTAGAAAGACAGAAACATTGGTGAGAGAGAAACACCATCAGCCTAACACCATTGGCTGCCTCCTGCACACACCTCTACTGGGGATCGGGCCCACAACCTGGGCGTGTGTCCTGGCCGGGAATCAAACCAGCAACCTCTTGTTTCCTGGATCGACACTCAATCACTGAGCACACCGGCAGGGCAGTTATATTTCTTGGGGAAGGGAGATAGCCCAGGTCTTAGACCAGCCGTGGGCAAACTACAGCCCGCGGGCCGGATCCGGCCTGTTTGAAATGAATAAAACTAAAAACAACAACAACAACAACAACAACAAAAAAAAAACCGTACCCTTTTATGTAATGATGTTTACTTTGAATTTATATTAGTTCACACAAACACTCCATCCATGCTTTTGTTCCGGCCCTCCGGTCCAGTTTAAGAACCCATTGTGGCCCTCGAGTCAAAAAGTTGGCCCACCCCTGTCTTAGACCCTCATTACTCTGGTCCTCTGCACACGGCACAGGCTTTTAGGTGATCAGACCCAAATCCTGGGATCAGTGCCCCGAACCAGCCAGGGCCAGGGCTCTCAGCCTCCAAGGCCCACCGTGCCTGCAGCAGGTGATGCCGCACCCATCCTCCTTTCTCGTCTGCGGGGAGGGCACGGTGGAGACCCGAGGCCCCAGCTGTGCTCTCTCTCTGTCCCCAGAGAGCAGCATCTCCGTGGAGGTGGCCAGCAATGCCAGCGTGGTCCTCGAGGGCGAGCACCTGCGCTTCTCCTGCAGCGTCCGCACGGCGGGCAGGTCGCAGGGCCGCTTCTCCGTCATCTGGCAGCTCGACAGGCTGATGAAAAGAAAAAAAATGGGGGGCTGGACCGGGACGGCACCGTGCAGCCGGGCGCGTCCTACTGGGAGCGCAGCAACTTCGGGGGCGTGCAGATGGAGCAGGTGCAGCCCAACTCCTTCAGCCTGGGCATCTTCCACAGCAGGAAGGAGGACGAGGGCCAGTACGAGTGCCACGTGACCGAGTGGGTGCGGGCCGTGGACGGAGAGTGGCAGGTCGTGGGGGAGCGCTGGGCCAGCACCCCCATCTCCATCACGGCTCTCGGTAAGTGAATGTCTGGGAGTCCTTCTGCAGGGTCGCTGGGGAGACTGTCCCTGGGTCAGGAGCCCTCCCCTGACCTGTATCGGTCAGTCCTGCTGGGAAACAGAGGGCACCTTCAAAGAGTTTAATGGAAGGAACCCGCTATGGAAGTGTGGGCATGGCTGAAGGGACCATCGATGTGTGGCGGGGCCTTGGGGCCGGTGACTTTAACCACTCATGGGTCTGGGTGGCGGGAGTGAAGCTGTAAGAATTCTGGCCAGAGGACCGAGGCCACTCAGCAGGACATGGTGGCCCCGGGTAGAGGATATGCCACCTTCAACACTGGCTGAAGAGCAGGCGCACACCCACGGAGCTGCTCTTCTGCCCCCAGGCTCTCCTCCGCCCCTTGTGTGCTGCCCAGTGCCCAGCCTTCCCGAAAGGTTCAGAGCAGGGCGGACAAGGGCAGGGGATCACCTTGATTCTGAGTGTGGACAGACAGGATGGTGAGCCTGTGGCTTATGTCTCTTCCGGGCTGTACTGTGCTCCGGGCTAAGTCTGAGCAACTGGCCAGGAGGTAGACACTTTCATTTTACAAGGAGCCTGAGTGAGGCAGGTTAACTGATTTGCTCAGGGCTGTAGCTTTTAAATGCCAGACCCACAGCCTGAACCTAGGAAACCAGCCATCTATCTTAATTTTTTCCAAAGCCTGTGCTGAGGCCCCTCCTTAAGAAAGCGATTTCCTCATTAGCATGAAGTTAAAGGATACCGTGAGGTTTACTAAAACCAAAGATTAGATGGACTCCTCATGGGGTCCTTAAAGAGGCTTCCATCAACACGTATCTGCCTAATCAGATCCGTGTGGAGCATTGTAAGAGGCAGGCGTCTGCTGCTTTGCTGGGAAGGTAGCTCCTCCCGTCGGTCTGCTGTCATCAGGAGACTCTGCTGTCTCTTGTCCTGGAGATTTGGTCCCACTCTCTGAGGCCGTGTTGCCCCTTCCCCCCGGGCGGGGCTGCTGGTGCTCCTGAATACACCTCGGTAAAGATGCAGCCCTGAGAGGGTTTGCTCCCCACAGAGTCCTCCATTCCATGTCCCACCCCCATTCTAATCCCCAGGTTAGAATGCCGTTTACTTTCTAAAAGCTTTATCCCAGAGATTGGCGTGCTTTCTGCAGTCCCCATACAGCTCTGATTTCTGTCTCTAGAAGCTTCATCCAGAGGTTGAGGTTTCTGATGAGCTCAGTCCCGTGCCTACGCTCAGCACCGTGGGCACCTGTGGACATGGAACCTGTGAGAAAAGCTCCGGTGTCCAACAGTGGTAGCTGTTCCTGTCCTGTGAGGTTAGGAGTATCAAGGAGTAGGGCTGGTTAGTCAGGGTTGTTCTCTAGAAGTAATTTTACAGTTCCAGGCTGTCCCCGATTCTAACACTTCCTAGCTGTGGGGCATTGAGCAAGTTACTTAACTTCTCTCTGCCTCTACTTCCCTATCTGTAAAATGGGTTCATGCAAAGATTAACGTGTCTGGTGGTTCCCACAGCCGGGAGTCACCAAGAGGTTCTAACCTGGGACCTCAGGAGCCTGGCTCTGCTCACCTGCTCGCCACACCTGGGGCACTTCTGCCTAAAGCCATAATCATAGTGGCCCAAGGGTGTGGCACAGAAGAAAACGGGAGGGTTCCCTGGAGTAAGGCCACCTTTTCAGCCTTAAGTAAATGACAGCACATGAATAGCTTTGGGGCTTTTTTCTCCTGCGTTAGCATGGAATCCCAAGATTTTTAGGAACAGCCCTGCAGTGGGGGCTGATGGACTGCAAATCCAGGTAGGTCCTCCAGCTTTCAAGCACGAATGGCCATTGAGAGGCCATCGTGAGGGCTTTGTCAGCCGGGATCAGTAATACTGCTCAAGGGGGCTGCCCGATCTCTCTCTGTGGGGTCTTATGAGCTGTGAGTCTGTGCCTCCACATGATAGCTAACGTAATCCTGGCCTGGCATCAAAACAGACCCGAGAGCCTTTGCTCTGCCCTGCTAGCTTTTGCCAGGACCCCCGTCGCCGCATCACCCCCTGAGAGGACTAAGTGACTCCTGGCTTACGCCTGTCTGTTCTCTCTCCAGAAACGGGCTTCGCGGTCACAGCCATCTCCCGCACGCCGGGGGTGACCTACAGCGACTCCTTCGACCTGCAGTGCATCATCAAACCCCATTACCGGGCCCGGGTCCCTGTGTCAGTCACCTGGCGGTTCCAGCCGGTGGGCACCGTCGAGTTCCACGACCTGGTGACCTTCACTCGGGATGGAGGTGTCCAGTGGGGGGACAGGTCCTCCAGCTTCCGCACCCGAACGGCCATTGAAAAGGTGGAGTCCAGCAACAACGTTCGCCTGAGCATCAGCCGAGCCAGCGACACGGAGGCGGGCAAGTACCAGTGCGTGGCGGAGCTGTGGCGGCAGAACTACAACAACTCCTGGACGCGGCTGGCCGAGCGGACCTCCAACCTGCTGGAGATCAAGGTGCTGCAGCCAGGTAGGGGCACAGCCGAGCTCGCGCTGGGTGAGACGCGGGAGGGAATAAAACGTGTGCATTGAGTCCCCTGTGTGGCCGCTTTGACTTACCAACTTTTGATGTTGAGAAATTTCAAATCCATAGGAAGTTGAAAGAACGAATCCCCTTCTCTTGGCCAGTTGTTAGTCTTACCATGTTGGTCTTCTCCTTCGGTGGGTATGTTGTTGTTGAACCACTTGAGGGTAAGTTGGTGCCATCAGGGCGCTTCCTCCTAAATACTTGAGCGTGAACCTCCTAAGAACAAGGACACGTGGTTACAGGACGTCGCTGACACTTTCCCAACTCCTAACCAGGTCCAGCCGGGACCACGCATCCCTTTTAGTTGTCACGTCTTTATATCCCTTTACTCTAGAGCTGCGTCCCGGCCGGACACCCGTGTGTTGAGACACTGGCATTGGTGAAAGTGTCCAGGCCAACTGTTTTGCTAGAAGCTCTGTCTCATGTCATCTCCTGTATCCTTGCCACAGCGGTGCGAACACGGTGCCCACCCCTGTTTGCAGACCAGGGACCCCGAGTGAGGAAGGAAGGGGGACCCTGCTGAGCATCTGCTCTGTGCTAGGTGCTTAGGCTGGTTATTTTACCAGATATCCCGGCCACCCCAGGAAAGGTTGCCCAGCACAGGGCCGCATAGCTGGTGGGGGGTGGAGACAGGATTTGCACCCTTGCCTGCCCTTCTCCTGCTGGTGTCCTGACCCCAGGCCTGTCTGCTTGTGCCGAGTTTGAGCTTCATTCTTCCATGGGGCTGAGTCTCTCTCAGTAGGTGGTGAGGAGCCTAGTCGGGGTGGGGGGTAGGGGGTCCTGTGAATACTCTCACCTTCATCAAGCCCTGCCCCTAACACGGGAGCGGATAAGTGCATGCCACGCCCATGGTTTCCTCGGAGTCTGTCTGGTCTGCCGCTATGTTGGAAGCTGGATGAGGGTGGAGCCCAGGCCATGGTCCTATTTCCCTCTGAGCTGGGCCCTGAACAGGTGAGCTCGGGCACCCACCCATGCAGTGGACGGTGAGGGTGGGTGGCAGGTGACTTTGCAAAGACTTTATTCTGATGTTCTGACCTACCCACTTTGCAAAGATGGGTTGAACATCTTGCACAAAGGATTTTTCTTTCCGCTCAAGGCCGTGGTCAGTGTCCAACCCGGCCTGCTGGGCTGCTTCAGATGGTCACAGTGTTGTTTGCAGCAGTGCGGGGTTACAGAGGGCAATGTCTGAATTTACCCTTCACCTCTCCTAACCCCATAAGGAGTCTGTTGTGCCCCCGAGTTTGGAACAAATGAGTCGTATAAACAAAGGGGCCGATCCTTGGCCAATTAGAGCCTAAACCTGGATGACAAGATGCTCGGGGAAGAGGCTGTTCTGCTTAAGTGGGTTTTCAGGTTAATGGAGGGTGAAGCAGAGACCCATTTCCTGTGAGCCCTTGTGTGGGAAGTGCTCAGGGACGCACTCGTCTGCCTTACTGAGTGACTAGGAGATAGTAATTGCCTCTCGTATGGTCTCCTGGCCCCCGGGGCGGGCGTGTGAGCTGCAGCGCCGGCACATGGTTCTGCCGCCCTCAAAGGCAGGGAATCGCCCACCCTGTACTTCTGTTTTCTTTTCATTCCATCCACCAGTGAAAGCGTGGAACTGTTTGTTTCCCCAGATGGTTTCCCCAGGAGAAACCGAGGCGCCAGGTGTAAGGAGCCTCGAGGGGGGCAGGCCAGGCTGGTACGTGGGAGCCTGGCGTTGGAACTGAGCTTGAAGCCCGGGTCTCTGATGCCCAGATACCTCCACTCTCCATGGTACCATTTCAGTGCCTCCTGGGAAGTGGCTGGAGGCTGAGGATCTGCTCCGAGGACTGTGTCGGGTGTGGCTTAGGTTGAGTCATTTGTGTTCTCTATAAAGTGTGCGGTGACATCGTGCCGGGCTGTGTGTGGCGAGGCCCGTGCCCAGAGGTGCCCAGTTAAGCCTCTCGGGGCCCTGGGGAGGCCGTGGGGATCGAGTCGGCGCCCCGTCCGCACATTCCCGGGCGTGGCTGAGGCACCGGGAGAGTGCATCCCTTAAGTGTTACTGTCTCCCCTTTATGTAATATTGATGCACTTAGCACTTAATATGTTCCAGGGAGCCTCGTGTTTGTGTTTGCTCCTCCCTGCCCCCCCCCCACTCTGGTTGGCCCTGGAGCTTTTATCTGGGGGACACAGAAGTGGAAAAGTATAGAGGCTGACTGTGCCGCGGCCATGTAGACACGTGGTGACTATAACCTCCTTCATCTTCACTGCACCGCGGGAGGAAGGTGCTGATTTTCCATTTATTTATATTTTAATATGTTTTTTATTGATTTCAGAGAGGAACACGGGGGAGAGAGAGAGAATCATTGATCAGCTGCCTCCTGCATGCCCCCTACCGGGAATGGAGCCTGCAACCCAGACATGTGCCCTGACCAGGAATCAAACTGTGACCTCCTGTTTCATAGGTTGATGCTCAACCACTGGCCACACCAGCCAGGGCTGTCACTTTCCCATTTATAAGGGAGTAACTGAGACTCAGGGAGGCTTGCTGAAGTCCAAGAAATAGTGAGTGGGAAGGTGGGACTGGAACGCAGGTGTGCCTGAGTAAAAAGCAGTTGGTATAAAAGGGGACTTTGACCTTTTTTAAGGCTGTGTCATCAGAAATTACTCCTCTGTGTCCTGTAGCAGTCTCATTTACAGAAGGCACTCTCTGTAGATGGCTGACGTAAGGAGTCCTAGGCCTGGTGCAACACTAGCAGCTAACACGTCCTCTGCATTTCTGATATGCCATCGCCATCCCGAAGTCCTTACCTGTAAAACCTCACTTACCCATGCAGTGCCATGAGGGGTGCTGTTTCCCCCACTTTGTAGATGCGGACACTGACACAGGGGTTGATTAAGTTATCCAGTGATCCGCAGTCAGAGGCAAGATTCACATCCAGACCGGCAGTCTGGCTCCAGAGTCCAGGTTCTTTTTTTTTTGTTGTTGTTAATCCTCACCCGTGGATATTTTTTCCATTGATGTTTTAGAGAGAGTGGAAGGGATGGGGAGAGACAGAGGGAGACAAACATCAATTGGTTGCCTCCTGCATGCACCCTAACCAGGGTAGAGGATGGAGCCTGCAACCAAGGTACATGCTCTTGACCGGAATCAGACCTGGGACCCTTCAGTCTGGGGACCAATGCTCTATCCACTGAGCCAAACCGACTAGGTCCAAGCTCTTAATTTTATTATACAGTTTTAAGGTATTTTCTAGAGTAGACATTTTTTAAAAATCTTCTCAGGAACCTTTTTGGGTACCATGTACTTTTCTTCAATTTCTATTCTGTTTGGTTTACCACCCCTAATTTCCTGATCTCCTTTCACAAACATTTAAATTTGTTTTTTTAAGTTGGGGTCACAGGGTACCGGTAGAGGTTCCTTGAGGCGCAGCTTGCCAATGGTGTCGGTGTAGGAGTTTAATTTGTGCCTCCTTCAACTCCTCTGTTTCTTCTAATTTCTGCCACAAGATGGCTCTAAGACTTGGGCACACCGGAGCTCAGAGCCAATACTGGCTTCCCTTCTTTCTGCTCTCCCTAGTCTGGTGTCTTCCATAGGAAGGTCCCCCACTGCCTGCCCACCCCCCACTTTTCAGAATATTTTGTTGTATATTCTCATTCCAAAAGAATTAAGTAGGAACCGAGGGACCGTTGGCCCAGTGGTCCATTTATCCGCCTTCCACTGCCGACGCCATCAGCTCTCACGAAGGCTCCCTGTGGCCTGTGCCCAGGCCAGCCCTGGCCAGAGCTACCTGCTGAGCTGGCTGCATCACAGGGACCTGATCCATCACAGTCTCTGGCGGGGTGGCACCCCGTCCATTTGGTGTGGGTCTGTTACTGACCATTCTGCAGGCGTGCTTCTGGTTCGGAATGCACGTCCCGAGGAAATCCTCCAGGAATGCGTCGCCCCCATTCTGTTGTGGGTTGTGCTCAGCCTCACTCCCATGGATAGCAGTGACCTCCAAGGGGCACTTAAGGCAGGACTTGAAGCCGGTTCAACATATTCAATTTTTAGTTCTTAGTCAGTTCTGTTCTCTTTTAATTTTGAAGCATTGCTTTGCTTTCTTCTGATTTTCTTTAGCATCAGCGCCCCCCCCCCCTTGCACATTCCTAAATACAGAAGCAATAAAGGAAATGTCAGCATTCATTTTCCAAATGTTTACGACCATGCCTGGGTCTGGCTATTAAATACTGCACATTAAAATCGACAAAGCAATAACCAAGCCTCCCGGAGTACAGCCTCCGGTCTGGAAGGCCCACTTGTCAGGGTGTATTCTGCTGGGATTTTACTGATGGGCGGTCAGGATGAATATTTAATACGTTTGGGATGCTGCCAAGTCTGTTTTCTGCATTTCTTGCTGCTGACCTAGCAGACTGGGAATGCTGGGGGCTTTTTCTTCGACGTCTGTGAGTCCAGGGCACGTGACAGTGGCTCTCCTTGTCACACAGTCTGGTAAGTGGCAGCCTGCCTCATCCCTCAGAGGGATTAGCCCCTGCTTTCTTTTGGGAGAACCTGTGGTTCTCCTACCCCGTGTGCATGTGGCTGCTGCCCGCTGGGTGTTCAGAGGTGGAGTGAACATGATGGCGAGAGCCCTGAAGGTGGCCCAAGCCTCATTGTCATGGCGACTCCAGGTACATCTCTTTGGAGTCACTGAGCTGGGGTCCTGCTCTGTCTGCAGACAGGGCATGTCTGCATTACTGCTAAGTAGCTGTTTCCACTTCCAGACTTTCATTACTTTCTCCTTTTTTAAAAAAAAAAAATATATATTTTTTTTTATTGATTTCAGAGAGGAAGGTAAAGGGAGAGAAAGATAGAAACATCAATGATGAGAGAGAATCATTGATCAACTGCCGCCTGCACGCCCCCTACTGGGGATTGAGCCTGCAACCCGGGCATGTGTCCTGACCGGAACCTAAATGTGATCTCCTGGTTCATAGGTCAA